ACTAAGGTGAGAGAGGTTTTCACTGCAGGGCCTTTAGAAATGTTGTTCAGCCAACATGAGCCGTTTAACACGTTATATAAATAATGCTTATTGAGTTATAAACACTTTTTGGCTTTCTTTCTGCTGAGGTACAGTTTGACTTTCTAAAGGCTGCAAGAACAAAACAATGCAAAGCAGTTCACATTACATGACCGAAAAAGACAATGCATGGCAAAGACACTTCATAGTTGTAGCCCACTGAGTCTCTGTGGATCTGCTGGTTGGACACAAAAAGACATGTGAGGGCGCCACCTTTGGCTCTGAAGAGTCACAGTGGGACTTTTTCCCAGTGTCTGACATTCTGGGAATAAAAAGATCAATCAGATCAGTGCAGTGATCAGTCGATTAATCAGGGACCCTGCTGTTTGTGTTTCCACTCAGTTTGTCAGGAGTTTCCTTTAATACATTCAGGTCTAATCATCGGTTTCACTAAACAGTTATTAGCCTATGATGCTGGAGAAACCCAGAAACACTTCCTGCTGTTCTGAAAGGATGTTCATAATTTTAAAAAGTCTTGATGATGTCAGCTGAAGGATTTTTAACTCATTCCTCAAGATGCACTTCTGCTTCAGAGTCAAAACAAAGATTCAAGATTCTTTATTGTTGCATCCGATTGTGCAAATACATGAGTACAACACTTTGGCTCCGGCTCCTTGACAGCGCAGCGTAAAACAAATTAAAAGTAAAATTAAAGTATACTAACAGCAAATAATAAACATAATCTGTAAGTAGTAAATTCTAAACCTGTACATATTATGAGATTGGGATGTCAGCTGCGTGGAGAGGAAACGGCTTCTGTTGAAGCTGAACTGCTGAAGTAAAGGTGACAGATACATCCTTTAGTTGATTCACAGCTCATGCATAATGGAATATCTGCTGGGACACTGCGACAGCAGCCAGTTATTTTACTGGGCTATGTGCACATTTCCTGACTCAGAGCAGGAAACCACCCTGCATTAAACATGTGAATGAAGTACTACATTCATGCAGCCTTGTTGTGATGCTGTGATTTCTAGCTTGGGGAAGCAGCTGCATGTCTGTGGTCAACCATAATCACTAGGATACCGTAATGCAAAGTCTGCTTTACTGTGAAGTTTTCAGTTAAATGAGTTCATCTTATGATTCAAGGTTTAAGGACAGAACATTGCAGCACTTTATAGACAACACGCCCTCATTTCTGCTTGAAAAGGAGCCATGTGACGGTTGAAGAAATAGTCCATATATGAGTTTTCTGCTCTGCCCCCTCTGCAGTCAAGGTCTGGTAAGTTTTGCCAGGGTTTCTCACATCACTGAGATTTGTTGTTACCTTTTAGCTCCAGTCTGTTTTGTTTTCACACTGACTCACAAACAAACTAAGATGTGTAATGATGAAGTCCTCCTTATGAGTAAGCGCGACTTAGACCTGCCAGGGAGCTCAGAAACAGCTGTAGTCCTGTGACTGACAGCTGACGTTTCTTTTTTAAAACGACTGGACTTTTTAATGAATACATGGAGCAGCACAACACACTGGTTTTTTAACCCGGCTTTATCTTCTGATGTATGGGACAGTGTGGGAGTTTGTGTTAAACTAAACTTTTGTATGTTTAAAATTCCACTAGTCCGAGTCCTGTAATTGACCTGCAAACTGTACCAGTGTTTGCTGGGAAGAGCTCTTGTCTTTTCAACTTGTGGCTGTTTGATCCACACCAAAGTTTGTGGGGCAATGCTCACAGCAGTCCAAACAAAGCAAATGTCCAACACCTCCAGCTTTGTTTAAACCAGCAGTCCATTGCAAGTTTGCCTCAAAGGGCTTTTGAAGCTCGGTTTGGTGTGAAATCATCCTAAAGCTACTTCAGTAACTTAACAAACCATCACCACAAGGTCCATCCGACTGCTGCTGTGGAGCGCTCAGCTGTGTCACACAATGTACAGATGAAGTTTGCCCACATTTCCTCTGTGCTCTGAGGTCCACTTGTTCATGTCGACTGACTGACGTTCAGATCGACAGTTTATGCTAAACCTTGGTTAGGAATGAACTTCTGCTTAAAGTTAGGAAATTATCACTTTCATGCTTCCCAACCCTGACGTTTTAACCGTGGTGTTACTGAATTCATGTGCTCCTTGTAACTTTCTGTGTGTTATAACAAAGCCGCACCACTTCCTAGTTTGCTGATATTATTTTACCACCAGTGCGTTTGTGAAGCTGACAGTCATTATTTGCAGTGCAAGAATTCATCTTGGCAGACACTCTGATCTGCGGTAATGCTTCATCAAGATTCATGACAGTCGATGGAGACATTTAGTGTTATTTGCCTTGAACATGTGACCTTTCATACACAGTGGTATCTTTAACCATGAAGCCGACATTAATCCCTCCTTGACCCACAGCGAGAGACAAACGTGTCCTGTCCCTGATCGACTCGCTCAGCCAGCGTGATTGGTATTCCAGCAGCGACGGGGGCATTCATCATCCTCCTCCTCAGCCGGGGTCAATACTCCTCCCCGTCACACATCATCATAAATACATTCTGATGAGGGCATGTGCACGCACACACAGACGCACGTCTAGTTGAGTGTAACTTCACCGACAGCCCAGATGTTGCAGAGACACATGGTGCAGTGTGCCACAGTCATTATTATGCCTGTGCTGTGTGCTGCACTGTTGATATGCAGTCCACGTCTGGATAAAGAATTCTGTTTGGTCTCGCTGGCTTTGGCTTGGTGATTTGCAGGGAATCATCTCCCTCTCCCCCCTTGTTTCTTCATTCCTCTGGCATTCTCTCACTGTGTGTATCATTTTTCAGAGCATTTCTCAGCCTTACAAACCCTACTCGGTTCAGTCTTTGTCATCTTTATTGGCATGAACGACTAAAAGACTTTCCCAAAAGTTTCTCCGTGCACAGAGATGCTGTTACTGCTTTGCATGTGGCATAAAAGTGATAGAAGTATATACAGTGAATATAAGGCATCAAATAGTACAAACAGAAGAAGTGAAACCACAGAACATGTACACTGTCTGTTCGTTTCAAATGAATTTAATATTGTACTTTTATCATGTGAGTCTGACAAGTCTTTTTGAAAATAATGTACAGTACACATTAAGTATGGTGTGTGTCAGTATCTAACTATCTGTCTGCTCTCTCAGAAGCACTCCATCTCCCAGAGACAACAAAGGATGATGAAATATTAAGTAAGAGGGAAGATCAGAGTCAGAAAACCTCTTTGTTCTACCGCTGGCTGTGTTTTTAATCTTGAAACACTGAACAGCACTCAGTTCTGTTTGTATGAGCCAAAGGAGCAGTTAAGCACAGCACATAGTACAGCAGAAGTAGTCATGAGTATGAGCAGATCATTCTCAGTACGGAGTGAAAGCATGAAATACTGTGTATTGCATGTGTCATTGTTGGCCAACAGCATGTGGATACTCTGCTTGTACTTTTTTGTCCAGCTCCCTAAAGCAATGCTTTTCTCAGTCCGGTGTGGGAGAACCTGGCTGGCCTATGACTTCATCCAACACCTCTGGGGTGGAGTAGAGCTCCATCTGTGAGCCAGACCCGAGCAGCCAACATCAGTGTTGGACCTCACTAACGCTCCCATGGCTGAACGGGGACCAACCTCTGCAGCAGAGAGGCAGATTCATGCCCAGCTGCCACACACCGTTATGTCCACATACTTTTAGCTTGTGTTGTATGCATGTGTGCATCCAAATTATAATAATATTACCTTCAATTATTTTGTGTAGCAGAAGTCCAGCAACAAAGAACTTAACATGAGACATGAGGCTTTGTTACTTGAAGAACCACAGTAAAGAACAAACACTAAGACTCGGAAAATGAAGAAAAAACCTGAATAAACTAGAAACTCATCATTTTCATGTAAACAGATGTCTTCTCTGTTGCACATAGTTTGTTAATTTATTTTATTGATTGATTTCCTGTACAGGCCTGTTTCTAGTCACCTGTAGTTCTTCCCCTGAAAAACTCCTGTGGCGTACAGGGAATGTTGGATTTTACGTTTCCCTTTTGTTGTGAATAAACAGAAGCGTTAGGGAGTCCATGTTTTACTGCCTCAGCTTTGAAGCGTCAGGTGCACCCGATAGATTGAAGCACAGTTTAATCTACTTCAGAGGAAGGAAGGTGTCACACTATGTGGTGGTGGGTAGTTTGAAGTGTGCGCTGATCACAGCCTGCGCAGGTGTTGGTGGGTTTTCAGTTTATATTTGTGAAGCATGTCAAATCAGCAAGGTCCAGGCCTCATTTTCCTGAAAGGTTCTTTGCAGGAAGTTAGTGATTGATAAGCCAACCACAGATGCTTACAGATGGTTTTGTTTCCTTGTGCCAACTCCTTAGCCTAAAGGACTTTGTAGCACACAACTATTTTGTAACTATTTCAGTTACTGTAGCACACTGTTCATCAAAGTTTTACATTCTTTGCCATAAAGAGACACAGAGGGACTGCTGCAGACAAGGAACTATCAAATTGAGTTGCAAACTACCAATAAGAGACGCAGAACAACTGTAAAGAAAAACTAAACCGCTGATGGTCTTATATAGACGGCGTGGGGGGCTCGGGGGCCCTTGCTTCTACTGCTGCAGCTTCAGCTGACACTTCAGTACTTAAATTGCTTCAACTTGAGCTGTTACTGCCAAATGACAATGATAAGATGGAACTAATACATCCTGTTTGCAGTGTTTAAAGCTGCAGCAGCACAGTCCACTTCTCCACTGTGATGTTCCTTCTGTGTTCTCATGTGTCAACTCCTGTAAAGGTCCTTGTTACCCTCACATATTAAAACAGTGGGGCGTCTGTCTGAACTACCAGCATAATTAACCCCAGTCTCTGTCATGTATCTACACAGTCTGACTGGTCCTGATTGTATGAGCCTCCATTAAAATGGCTTTAACAGCAGGATGTGTGGGGGTGTGGGGGTACTAACCAGGCCTCCCTTCCCTCCTCGATCCCCCTGTTTTCTCACATCCCAGAGAACCACTCTGCCCCTCCAGATGTCACCGGTTACACCAACAACACTGCCAACACCACCGCCACCGATGGAATCCAGGTGGAGAGGGCCCCGGGTGCCGGCACGGCCACCCAGAGGCAGCCGCCCAAGTACGGCAACGCTGAGCTGATGGAGACTGGAGACGGTGAGTCGGGGTTGAGGAGGGAGAAATGATAATAACAACAAAACAATAATGTTTCTCTGTTGCTTTAACAAACAGGTTGGGGTCCAGTATTCACTCATTATCTTCTAATATGACTGGCTCATGTCTTAAAAATGTTTAATCTTTTCAAGGTAAAAATCTGTATTTATGAAATTATCCTGCTTTTTAAAGCATGCCAGCCTTTTGCTCCTGTTAAAGGGGATGCACCTGGGTTTGTGTAGCGCTCATCCATGGAAACTGATTAGCAGATTTTTTTTATGACATAAATTCAAATGCATTCAATTCATAAGCACTTAGGAGGCAGGTAAGTTTTGTTAGAGTGAAAATCAAACTTTCATTCACTGCATTATACAGTAAATATTAAAGAATAAACAGCGCTTGCTGGGCAGATTTAATATCCTAAATGTTTTTGGCCCACTTGTTTTTTAAAAGTCTCCAATTAATATCCATTAAAATGCATTTTGCCGGTTAAACATTGATATTAGAGATCACATGGTAAATGATTTGGTGCCAGAGCCTCTGGAAGTTCTGAAGTTTGGTTTTGAACAGTATCAGATCAAGTGGGTATCGTGACTTCATATCCAAAAACGGATGCAACAACTGTGTCACTGTCTGTCAGTTTACACAAACAGCAAATCACAACAGCAGCATTTGACATCTCCCTTTGTCAACTGAATGCTCAGCTCAACAGTCTGTGTTGTAACACAACAAGCTGGGGTCAGATATAAAATGCTGGAGCACTAAAAGACTCCAGATGTTTCTGCAGATGATGCCAGTTTGCTTGTTTCAGAGTTGCATGACTCTGGTTCTGGACATGAAGCTGCAGCAGACAGAGTTAGACGCTTCACTCATGCTGTGATGAACGGAGATGTTGAGCACAGCTCGACAGATTAGATGCCAGAGTTTACAGATGGGAGCTTACCGACATGTTTGGCTGAAGAGACACAACAAAGCTAAGGCTCTGTCACAGCTCCAAGAGGATTTCATCAGAAATCTGTTTGTTGTCTCGCTTTCAGTGGGTTGTGATTCCTTTCATTTTCAGAGATGAGCTTTAGTCCTTTGACCCGTTTGTCTTCAGATTTGTGAGGATTTAAACATTTGATTCACTGCGGAGGAGCTGAGATGTCCCTTCAGTTGGTTTCCCCTCTGCTTGTTCTCACTAGTAGGTTTTACACCTTAACATATTCACTTTTTGTAAGGATTTTTGTTGCTCCATCCATCTGTGCCATTTGTGGCACTAAAACCTATTTTTTATTTTTGATCTAAAAAAGAAGATAATAGCTGCAAATGCTGTAAAACAAGAGTTTTAGTGATGATCTTTTTTCTGATCATTTTTTGAGTATAGTCTTCTAATATTTTATAAAAGATTTTTTTTTTTCATTTACTGCTGAGTGGATTGCGACTGTAAATGTATGGAGGAAAACTGCATATGCTTGGGGTGAACAGACTGTAATAACACCCAGTTGCCAAATGTACACAAGTATAATTCACTTTGCAGTGTAAACACACTTTCTGGCAAAAGAGAAACAGTATGTATACAGTACTCTGTCTGCAAGTAGTGATTCATGTTCTTGATGCTGTGAACAACTTTGGAGGTGAACATTATGTAACGGGGAGCATGCATGTGTGCTGGTGCTATGGAATCTAGTGGACTAAAAGTAGATATGTTACTGACCCATGCGTGTTTTATTTTAAGATACAAAACCATAAAAAAAGATCAGCATTCAGCAGAACTTTCTTTAATGTGGCGTGTTCCCTCTGTTTATGTGAAGACAAAAATACTGCAGCCTACGTAGCTTCTGTCACATTGAGCGGTGTAATCTACCTGCACCCACAGGGTTTCACTGACCTCACGGTCATGTTACCATCTCTCTGTGATGTCACTGGCTCTCCCAGCTGCCCAAACAACATCTGTTTGCATCCAGCTCTCAGCACTGAGGCACCACCTCTCCACACTCTGTGAAGGTTTGCTTTAGAGCGATTTGCACCGTACCTCATCCTGTATTCCATGTTCACTCCTCTCCCATCACTGACTGTCACGCTCGGCAGCGGCTCTGCTGATTGCTCATTCGAGGAAACATGCCACTTTAAAACATTTAAAACTTGGGAGTGTTTTGTCAGATGAAGCATCACTCAGCGGAATGTGAAAGCATTGACTGCTTCACATGTGAACCTGTGAAAGCATATTTAGCAGTTTAGTCTAGGGCTCACATTGAAGTGTGTGTTTGTGCTCTGCAGGTGTGCCAGTAAGCAGCAGAGTTTCAGCCAAGATTCAGCAGCTCGTCAACACTCTGAAGAGACCTAAGCGGCCGCCGCTAAGGGAGTTCTTTGTTGACGACTTCGAGGAGCTCCTGGAGGGTATGGCTACTGTCTTTACTTTGAAAAATACTTAAGATTAGGTCTTTTTTAAATGTATTTTCCTTCTGTTTTACTTTTTTCCCCACACAGCATCATTTAGTTTAGTGATTGTTGATCACTTGGACGTAGAGAAGAGATGAAGGGACCATCACAGCACACCTGCCTCAAAGAGCAGCCACTGAGGATAACTGTGCAATTACTGATGGTGGTAGTAACAACAAAGACATGATGCAAGTGACTCATATGAAAGCAGCCACTCCAGTGACTGCAGACACATACCCTTCACACATGCAACTGAAAAATAATCCACCCAGACAAATCCCCATCACCAAACATTGAGCACTGTTAACTGGTGAATATTTTTTGTTTACAGCATCAAAAGCTGCTGTTCACAGCGTTGTTGAGATGCATGAGGAAGCAGGATGCATTCATTGAGGACTATTTTCTGTGGCGGATGAATCCGCATTTAATCTCTAGTGAATGATTGTGGCAGCAGGTTGGTGTATGTGGGACTGGGTCACAATCAACTACAGCGCATGGGTTCATGGTGATAGAGGAACATGTCAGTGCAGCAGTGTGATCACCGGGTGGTGTTAATAGTTTATGGACACGGTGGAGCTCTGTGGCTCAGAGGGAGAAGTTGTGTTATGCTTGTCCTTTGTTTCAAATCATCAGCAAATCTGAATAAATGTAAAAATGTGGCTTCTTACTGCTCCTTGTGTTTCTTCCTCCAGTCCAGCAGCCAGACCCCAACCAGCCCAAAGCAGAGGGAGCACAGATGGTGGCCATGCGGGGTGAGCAGCTCGGCGTGGTAACCAACTGGCCCCCATCTCTGGAGGCAGCCCTGCAGAGGTGGGGCACCATCTCCCCAAAGGCCCCCTGTCTCACCGCCATGGACACCAACGGCAAGCCACTCTACGTGCTCACCTACGGTAAGCAACGCATCAGTCCACACTAGGTCAGGAAGCCACACAGGAGCGGTGCAGGAGTTTTTAGGGGATAGAAGAGAAACAGTTTCACCTGTTCACTGTCACATCTACTTCATTTCTTCTCTCGAGCTTTGAGCTTTTCTCTTAAATAAACTGGTTCGGTAACCACAAATCTCCAGAATCACAATATTATGGATCAGAATTATTATTATGAATCTGAGCCCGACTGCAGTGATGTACCGTACCCATCAATACCTTTCATACTGTATGAGTGGAGCTTGGTTTTTCTCCGTTTTGCTTCTGTTTTTTTCAGCACATACGGTGGCTTTCCCAGGCTGATTAACTGAAGTGGCAAACAATGTTAAACACTCGCTGTGTGAGCATAATTCCACTAATGGCAGCCAGACAGAGCGCTAAGCATATTAGCAAAGTGTGAAAAATATGCTTTCAAGAAAGCTGCTCTGCTACAGAGGGAAGGCGTGTTTGGAGAAGTCAGTTTAATCTGACTTCACAGCTTCTGTTTGGAGCATAAAATGCAGTGCAGTATTTCTGCACAGATACTAACATCTGATGTTAGCAACAGTGTCTCATATTGAAAAAAAGATACTGACCAGTTCATTCTTTGTGACCTTGGTCACTTTTACAAATATTAGATGTTAAAAAAAGTAAAGCTGGATTTCTACCCCTACATTGTGAGCAAGACCTGCACAAAGACACAAGTGAACCCATGAAGAGCTCACCACAGTCCCAGCTCTTTATCACACAGTGAATCAGAGACTGGACTCACTGCAGTCTGTACAGTTACTGCGGGAGATGTAATTAAATGACAAACCAATCTGATAATGTACTGTGCATGGAGCTGGAGGCGTGTTGGTGCTACAGTTCCTACACCACAGGCAACTGCTGCGAGACTGCGACACTGAGACACACAAGTGTGAACCCACTTTAAGTCTCGAATCTATCACAATACAAAGTAAATGTAGAGGAGATCAAGTTTTCACCAGCCAGAAGTGAGAAGACAAACACAGCAGTGATATGAAATGCTACACGTACCACTGTCTGACCTGCAGCTCTGCCATCGCTCCGGCCCCCTCAGCTCAGTCCCTGCAGCTGAATCACATCACGTCCTCAGTCTGAGTCCACGTCCAAACTGGAATGAGCACCTTTGTTGTGTGGCTGAGTTCGACTTCTCCCAGACGGTGGCAGAGAAAATGGCTTCTGGTTCGAAGGGTGTGAAGAGATTCAGCTGCAGTGAACGGAGCTGCTGCCCTCAGGTCCCCATGAGCATAGAGCCAGAGCTCCCGGCTATACAGCGAACTCAAGACACACCATGCAGACCTGTTGAGGTTCAAAGAAACCGTTACATCTTTTACCTTAAACACAAGTATGTCCCAGAATGACATGACAAATACCTCATTACAAGTAAATGTGTGTATTTGGATTTAGGTCTGGCTCTGTTTTTATTTTGTTACACAAGAGGTGTAGAGTTTTGATCTACTGCCCTGTGAAAACCACACACATATTGTGTAGTTTTGATGATTTTCTCTTTTCAAATTGAAGCAGAGAAACTAAAGAAAGTTGGAGAATCATAGGAAGAGATGCAGAAGGGAGTGACAGAAAAAAAGGACACAAAAAGACTGAAAGAAACCAAAGTGAAAAGGTACAAGGAAACCAAGAAGGAAAGAACATGTGAGGAGAGAAAGGACAGAGTAGATGGAGAGATGAATGAAAGATGGAAGGGAAGGAATAAAAGAGGAAAAGGGAAGGACAAATGAAAAGGAACAAAGTGAGGAAAGGAGAATGAAAGAAAAGGAAGCGTGAAAGAGAAAGAAGGCAGAACAGATTTTTTATGATCTTTTCTCAGGGTGAGTATAAAACCTGAGTAAGAAGGAGCCTGTTTGTTTCACAAAGGATTGTTGCATCCAATAACTGATAAATCTCAGAGTCCTGCAGGGTTTGATTACTGACACATGATGATCAGCTGCAGGCTCTAGCGTCCATGTTGCACACAGTGAAACAGGCTCCACCATCTCCAGCTGTCCAATAGCGTATGCGTAGTTTTACAGTATATTTGAGGTACAGTATTTGTAAAGTATTGCGATGCCTCCCACCTCTGACTTGTTCGTGCACATTTGTGCCACACTTGAGTACACACAATCATCTCGTCCCACACACAGTCATTAGCTCAGAGGATTAATGTGACAGTAACTTTATCACACGACATCAGCTTTCTTCAGACAGGCATACAGTTTGTGTGTGTGTGTGTTACTGAAGTGATTTGCGAGGACAGAGATGATGATGTGGCGATATGAGCGCTCACCAGACTGTGAAATGTCTCCAGCCAGCACTCAGGAGAGACCGGCACTCACCAGAGAGACAGCAACACGGTGAGGCCGAGTATCTGTGTGTGTGTGTGTGCAGTGCTGACTGTCCATCTCTATCTTCCTTTATTGTTCATTCCTGGGGTGTTGTCCCTTTGATGTCAGTTGACAAGGACAAACTTGTTTATTTTTGTCCCGTCGAGCCGTCCTCCACCCCAGAGAACAGAGAGAATTCATGATACTGAATTCTCCCACTGTTCTTAAATTCATCCCCTCACCGAGCCGCACTGCAGGTAGAGGGGCAGGGGGGAGGAGCCACGAGTTTCTCTGGAGCTGTGATCACCTCTGAACAGCACAGCCAGCGTTACTTACCAATAAATCACATTATTGATAAAGACACTGGCTTTGCGTACAGCACATGTTGTGCTGTGATCTCTTTCTTCAGTTGTTCTTGGTACATCTGCTTATGTTTGGAGTGTTTTCTCTAAACTCCAAATCATTATTTGGAGCTGTCAGCTGCTCACAGACAGGCATGGCAGACTCAGGATGCTAAGAGCAATTCAGACGAGAGGGCAATTTGAGGGCATGCTGCCAAATGAATGGAGACTATCAGCTGCTTTTCAGCCACTCATCATCATTTGATTC